ATATATATATATAAATTAGTGGTAGGAAAGGAATAGTCACTTAATTTGTATTTACAATTTTTGATAAAAAATTAATCATTATAATTAATAAAAAAACATAATATATAAATTAGCTTATTTTCATAAGTTATTTCAACTAACTTATGAAAATAATCTACAAACTACTAAAATTAGAAGCGTAATAATTTTGCTGGATTATCTTATAAGTTAATCAAATTAACTTTTGAACTCATCTAATGTTTTGTCAAACATACTCTAATTTTTTCCTTCATTTTTATCCTCAATAATTTATTTAAAATATCTTTTGACCCAATTTGTTTGACACATAAAGTTATTTTAATTTTTTTTAACTTATTTTTATAAGTTATCTCAACTAATTTATAAAAATAAGGTAATTTAAAAGCCAGTATTTTGTTTCATTTTTATCCTTAGTATTTTTTTTTAAATGTCTTTTTTACCTATATTTTTTTTTATGTGCAAGCCTTTTTTAATAATTTCATAATTGGTATTTCGATTAACTTATAAAAATAAGGTAACTTATATGCTATATTAGTTTTTTCCCCTTCATATTATCCTTACTAATGTATTTAAAATATATTTTTCACCTCAAGTAACTAAATACATTGTTTATCATGTCATGTATTTTACATTTATCATTCCTATACGCTAGTTTTTATCATAAATCATTAAAAGTAGAGAGAAAAAATCTAATTATTAATTTATAAACTAACTTAAATTAATTCATTATTAAAATATATAAGTTGAAATAACTAAAATAAATTTGTATACCTAAACAAACTTAAATGTCATGATCATTAATTATTGAGTTCTCCAAAATCTGCCCCTGATTAATAGCATGCATCACGGGCCAGTCAAATTTACGCTTTCTAGTTAAGAATCATTCCACAGAATGGATTCTGTCGTAATTGCCTACATCATCTTTAGTGAGATATTACCATAGATTGATCAAATTACTCATCTTTTTATAGTCAAGATATCTCTGGTCAAGCAATGTTCTGTAGTACGGATGAATTATTGCCATCTCAATTGGCCGTTTGAATTTTCACTTCCCTTATAAACAAATATTGACTTTTTATGTTAAATTACAAAACAATAATACTTGCACACATATTATTTTCATGAACCTGTTACGGACTCTACGTACCAATGCAAAGTTTGTGAATAAAGTTGTAATGATAATGTCGTGTCGTAGAACCGTACTACTACTAGTCAGTTCCCAAGGTCAATAGTTTGAGTTTGACCTCCTAAGGTCAATCTTCTGAGTTTGACCTGCTTATATTATTCTCTATACAATGCATGTTTCACCCCCAATGCTTGGGCAAGGACAATGGACAATGCATTATGCCAATTATACCGTTCACACTGTCACATTTTTTGTTTCCGAAAAGGTTCGTACGGTCAGAGATTTGAAACCGAGTTAACATTTCTACTCAAATATCATTCTTCAAATGGACTATGGTGTAATATATTTTAAATTGCACAATCATACAATGATAGGATT